AAAAAGATTAAAAGATAACATCATAATTATTTACTGAACCCTTAAATTAATCACAATTATATAATGAAAGCCATAAAATAAATTATTTAATTACAATTAATCGTTATAATCGGCAAATCCCTAAAATAGACAATTAATCGCAATAACCGTGACTATTTTTAGGCAATTAATCGTCAGCCAAATTTCATAATCGTGACAGCCCTACCAGCAGGGTGGACTATTGTAATGGTCTCCTCACCGGCCTTCCCAAGAAGACCATTAGACAGCTGCAGCCCATCCAGAACGCTGCTGCCAGAATTCTGACTAGAACCAGAAAATCTGAGCATATCACACCAGTCCTCAGGTCCTTACACTGGCTTCCAGTTATATGTGCTATATGTGTGCACATGTCTGTGAGAACAAAAAATAAATAATATTTATTTATAATAAATAAATATTTATTATAAATAAATATTTTATTTATAAAATAAATAAATAAAATATTTTATTTATTTATTTATTTTTAGCACATCACTATATGATGTGCTAAACACACATAAATACACACACACATATTACAAGTTACAGCTTTAAAGTGCAATATGCTAGGATTGAAGAGTATGGGTAGTGCAGTGCAAGGTATAAATTCCTCACCCTGGTCTCCTCAGTCTCTGGACATGCCCTGAGTCTGGTGCGTGGAGTGGAAAGAGGAGGTGACCTCTGAGTGGTATCTGCCACCTGACTCATGGTGAGGCTCATTTTGGGATTGAATGTAAAAGGGCAGAGTGACTCAGGCACATGCTTCTGCTCATCTGCACACTGAAAAATAGAATGGAGAACTGTATTTAAACTTTTCACTATGCTTTGAGGTCATTTTTAAGTACTAATAAAATAGTTTACATTGTTTGGTGCATGTTCATATAATAAATATAATTTAATTTAATAAAATATTTTATCATTTAATATAATATTCAATTTTTTTTTAACTTGATTGATTAAAAGTGATAGATAGGACATGTATAATGTTACAAAAGTTTGTTTTTCAAATAAATGCTGTTCTTATTCATTAAAGAATCCTGAATAACTGCATCACAGATTCCACAAAAATATTAAGCATTAATATATCATAATTTAATATAATATTAAAATTTTTTTAACTTGATTGATTAAAAGTGATAGTGAGGACATGTATAATGTTATAAAAGTTTGCTTTTCAAATAAATGCTGTAAATGCTGTTCTTATTCATTAAATAATCCTGAATAACTGCATCACAGATTCCACAAAAATATTAAGCATTAATATTTGTATAAATTCGGAACTAAAACATTCAGAATTGACAAAGACACCTTGTTTTGTGAGATGTATTTAGATGTACTTTTGTGTATGTACAGCCTGTAGCCAGTGTTGTGACACTATATGCAGTCCTCTCTCTTTGACAGCTTTGTATTCTTTACTGTTGTCTCCCACTTTACCCTGGTAGATGTAATGAGTGACAGAGTCATCACACGACCACCTATAAGAGAGAAAATCCATTAGACTCCACCCCTTTGGTTAAAAACAAATCTACTGTATCTCCTACCAACATCTCAGATGACATTATTAGATTTAGACTGACTCATAGAGAGTAAGAGTAAGAGATTTGTCATTTACCTGAAGTCTGCACCAAGAGAGGCAGCCACTGCATTGAGTTCACTCTGTTTCTTGCTTAATTTCTTGCTCACACACACCACCACCCCACTGAGAGGAGCTGCAGCCTTCTGCTCCACCTGCATGGTACACACACCTGTATTTATCTGTATTCACACAGAGGTTGTGTACCTCAGGTTCAGGCTCTTTTCCCAGTTGTGGACAGGCAGTCATGGCTGCAAGGCTTGTGGCATGGCTGCGGTTGCTGTTGGCAACTGCAGCTTTAAGGTTCCTCTCAATGACCTCTGAGAGAGGAGTCTCTGCCCCCTGATCTTGCTGAGGCTTATTACCAGGAGTTTGTAAATGGCCAAACACATCCTACAACACAGACATACCACCATATTACAAAACTTAGTTATTTTGTTTTATCTTAAAGGGGTCATATGATGTGATTTCAAGTTTTCCTTTCTCTTTGGAGTGTTACAAGCTGTTCGTGAATAGATAAGATCCCTAAAGTTGCAAAGACTAAAGTCTCAAACCCAAAGAGATATTCTTTATAAAAGTTAAGACTGGTCCACGCCCTCCTAAAACGCCTTGTTCAAACACGCCCCCACATGTCTACGTCACAATGTTGAAAGATTTGCATAACGCCGCCCAAATATTCACGCAAAGAAAGAAGGCGTAACTTTTATTCTCGCTGTAGTACCGCCGTCATGTTGTGAAGACGCTGTGTGTTTCGTTGCGAAAGCGAAAATACTTTGTTTGACCTTCCAAAAGAGGACACGACTAGAAATCAGTGGTTAAGTTGTATTTACAACACTGTTCCAGAACAGTT